CTATGATCTAGTCTACCAACACTAAACCCAACACAGCTGCGGTGGTTCATTGTAATTTATGCAGGATCAGTGCATTCCACTTCCTTGGCTATGTGCCATTAAAGAGTCTAATTTTGTTGATGATATGATAAATACTCTAGATCCAATCAACTCTTGACATGCTATGGAGACAAAATGGGTCATAAGGCGTTTAGAAGGGTGTGGATGAGACAGATAATGACATGAGAAAATCAGGCAGAAATCCCTTTAGATTATTTTATGTACTTGGTAATCCTGATAGATTAAATGTACAAATACATTACACATATGTAATCTGGTCGGCCTTTGGCAGTCCTCAGGAACCCTAGCATCATAAGTGATTACAATTTATCATCTCAAGTATTAATTGATAGCTCTCAACAGTCGCATGTTGAAGGCCGGTCGGTCACTGGTACCTCGTGTGGTACCAGTGGCGGTCTGGGGGACCATTGGCGTGGCTCGGTGACCTGTCCTGAGCGGTGACGGTTCATTAAAGAAAAATGGGACATACCTACTTTGGAATGGAAATTGTGAAATTCCCAGTTTCATTTTATAAATGTACCGTTTTGTTTACTAACTATTAACTAAAACTACATCTGAGGCATTCTTAGGATAAGGTCGTGATTGAAGAGAAGGGCAAGGAACTACTGAAGCCTTGATTTGACCTTCATTGAATTTGTTTTGACTGGCCTTAACTTTGATTGGCCGGGCACCACTGCTGACTGCTGACTGCTCGCGGCGGCGCGATGAGCTAAAGCGTCATCTCGCTGAAAGATATACGATTATTATAAAGTGTGGCATTTATTAGAGCATTCTGACCGGCGCTGGCGAACCCTGTCCCTTCCCCTTCATGTCCGACGTTGCAAGATTATTCAGCACTTCCTCTACGCGGTATCTGGTTATTACTTGGCTGTCACGGTCTGACCTAGGATATGACGTGCTATTCTCGTGAGAGGAGTGGGGGACTCGGGCTGGCCTTGTAAGTCCATCGCTAGGTACCTCCTCCTAATCTTAACGTGACACTGGTTGGCCGGGACGTCTCTAAGACCGTTATCCCGATTCCCGTCTGCACTACGGGCCACTGTCATCTAAACAAATTGTGCTAACTATGCATCGTGGTTTTGGTGAACAACTCCACCATTTTATGGCACACGCGGCAGGTAGCGTGCCGCTGGGTGTTGAGTTAGGCCCCAACCATAGTCCGAGTGATGCTCAACTAATGTACCGATTGAACTAAACTGCCATCAACCTCCGTCCTCCTCCTCCGATCAAGCTCATCATCAAGAAGCTGATTCCTTCTTTCCTTCATAAACTGCATGTTACAAAACGTCAACATTTGCGCGCGAATACTGAACGGGATTAACAAGAAGTTCCTCTGTCCCTCAAACATCTGAGCTATATAACAATGTCCCAATGCAGCACAATTCAACCAAACCTCCATCTGTTGATCCTATCCTGACTAAGGGGTGGGCCTTATGCCCAGCATCTCTGCTGCCTGGTCGAAACCTACCTCGAGCAAGCCAGAAGCCAGCAGCGTGAATAGAATTCGGGATAGAATAGATAAAACACACCCTCCGCGAGCAGACGCCGAGCCCTCTGTACAGCCCTCGTGATTGGCCAACCGATGTGTTTTGGGAATGACATCTTTGGATGACACAGGTACTCCAGTCAAATGACTCAATGCAAAATAAGAAGCGGTTCCGTGTGGGCACTGGGCAGTTCGGCAAAATTTGTTGAAGCAGCTTGTAGATGCAATGCATTCATGAATATTGATCAATTATTGCGTTGGCAACCAACAACTACATGCTGTGAGGAGCGTACAGGGTGTCCCGAAAGTTTTGCAACATCCTTAACGTTGTAAATTAAACACTTCAGAGTTGTCCTTTCCGCTTTATTTAACAACCAACATAGTCACCGCGAAGTCGGGCACACTTCTGGACACGTGATGGCATGCTGGCCACCAGGCGGCGCAGTGTGTCCGCGGAGATGTCTCTCCAGGCCTTCTTCAGCCGGCGCTCGAGCTGACCCAGGTTGGTGGCGGGCTCCTGCTGGTCGAGGCTCTCCTTCATGATTGCCCACACATTCTCTAGCGGGTTTAGGTCGGGGGAGTTGCCAGGCCACTCCCCTTTACCCCAAAACCCTGGGAGGTGTTCCGCACACCATTCTTGTGTCCGCTTTGCGGTGTGTGCTGGTGCGCCATCTTGCATAAAAATTCCTTCTGACCTCCGGTCGACGATTTTCTTCTCCGTGACACCGCCATTGCTGCTCTTACGGTTGACCGCCGGCAGAAGTGAGCCCTCCAGAATCTCGGACACGTAGTATGCAGTGTTGACAGTCTGGTTTTTGGGCACCACGTGAAGTTCAGTCAGGCCCTGTGCGGTCATTCCGCCCCACACCATGAGTTTCGCGGGGTGCTTGATGGTTTCAACCGGGGGCACTTCGTCGCGAGATTTCGCCCAGACTCGATCGTTTTGCCGATTTGGCGTGTGCTGGATTTCGAAGATGGACTCGTCGGACCAGATGACGTTCTTGAACTCATCGAAGCCCCAATTTTTTACCCTCTTGCAAAATTCCAATCTTGCAAGCTTCTGTTTTCTTGTCATTTTCGGCTGTTTTGATCTTTTGTACGACCGGAAATGCTTCGACTGGGTCATGAACCGATGGACACCCGACTTTGACACCGGGTAACCCTTTCGCGTCAGCCGCGTGGCCAATTTCCTGACGCTTTGGCCACGCTTGCCAGCAGCTTTGGCACAGACGATTCTGGCGACGTTGGACACGGCACGCGGCCGGCCTGAACGTTTCTTGTCGGCTAACGGTTTGCCGTCGCGAAAACGTTTCCACCACCGGTAGACAGTGGTCCGATCGACGCCCAGCTTCTCTGCGACAACCCCCTGCGCCACGCCACCTTCCAGCAACCCGATCGCGCGGGAGCGCACCGCCTCTCTGCGCGTTACCCGTCCGGCCACCTTCATGTCTGCGACTGACCTAAGGTCAGACGGCGGCCGCCCCAGACGGGTCAGCCGTGCCCCGCGGCAATAACCGCCGCTGGGTCGGGTGGGCAGTCGCGCCGTCTACCCGGGACAAGCGGAAGGTTGCCAGTGGAACGTTGATATTAGCGGTAGAGACAAAACATATGGGAAAACGGATGTTGCAAAACTTTCGGGACACCCTGTACATTCCACGCCGTGGTTAAGCACTTCCCTGACGCGGATACGCGCTTTCACCCAAAAAGATTAGATTAAAGACTCAACTAATCAGATTCTAATCATATTATCGTGGTACATGCTTCCGACTACGAAGGCCTCTTTTCCAACCCGCCAATGTTTAAAAACACCCACACTATTGAACCATCGCACACACACACACACACACACACAAAACGTTGCGCTCCCAGGGCCAGCATTGTCCATCATTTCGAATGACGGTTGCCGATCAAACTTTGCTGTAACGTTGCACCACCGCCGACCCGGCAGTAGCACTACAGCACTACAAACTACTGCACTAAGTACAACAAACTACGGCACTACAGCACTACAAACTACAGCACTTCATCACTATAGCGCTACTAACTACAACACTACAAGCTCAGCACTACAGCACTACAGCACGATAGCACTACACTCTGGCAACGAATACTCGTCACTGTACCTAAATCATCACTAGGGTGCCCAAGGGTGATGTCTCAGGCCACCACATTCGGTTTGGCGAAGGCACAGGCGAGGTATGTGCACATGGACAGGTAGCAATCCAAATCAGGATACCCTGTAAAACGGGCGAGCGTTAGCCAAAACGCTACACAGCCAGGGCCAGCGATGTGATTGTCGCTGGGTCATTCGCGCCGCCGCAGCTTACCTGTCTCAATTAACGCTTACGTATCTCGATTAGTCAGCTGTAAACGGATGTTAAAAAATGTTATGATTACCAATTAATTTGAAAATGTGTAACGAAGTAGTTGAAAAAATGTTGCAAACATATTGCCTCATTTCGAGCAGAATTACATAATTGAAGTCACAGGTATGCGTAATAGAAAGAACCCCTGAAAACTAACCTCCTTAACCCTCGCCGGCACAGGCCATTTTGCGTCCTTCGACGGCACAAGGGGGGGGGGGGGGGTGGTACGACTCCCCCCCTCGCGTTTGGCCCCTGATCGAGCTAGAGCTTCGCGGAAAAAACGACCGTGTTGCCCGTCACGAGAGGAAGCCGATGATACCCAATTTTAAGGTCCCAGGTCATCGGGTGACCTTCCAGGTCAGGTCAATGACCCGAAAACCGGGAAAATCGGGACCTGTTAGAAAGTCGTAAAGTGTGGCTGCTACGTGGTTTTTCGGGGTGCTGATCACGAATATCGTGTTAGTTTTGATCAGAGATGATGTATTTAAGCATTTAGACCAGGTCGGGCCAGGTCAGGTCAGGTCAACCGGTAGGGGTTGTGACGGGTATTCGTAATACGTGTCAACCGCCTCTGACAGCTTCGTAACATGTTACGAAGGCACCAAAACTACTTCGTAAATGTTCAAATGGTTGCTAAATTCGAATTCAGCTCCAAAAACTAGCCTAAAACATGTAAAACTCGAAAAAGTGAACCGAGGTCACCCGAGGTCACCAAAGGTCAATGACCTGACCTGACCTTTAGGTGACCTTGACACCCACCCTAATGTATGGGAGCAGCATCAAATCACATGTTTGAACGTTTGAAACCACGAAAAGCTTGCAAACGCGCGGCTAATGCGAGCCGACATACGCCGAATCGCGATTTCGGCCAAACATGGTCACGGAAAAGAGGTCACAGGTCAAAGGTCATTGGGGTCAGGGTCATGAAATTTTCAGGGTAGGTGTAAAATCGATCAATGCGAGGGTACTGAAAGTTTCGTCGCGATCGGCCCCTTTTTACGCGAGTTATTCGCGAAAAACCTTAGGGGGGGGTTGCATCAACGAGCAATTGGCACAGGACAGTCTTACGGCATCAATAAGCTGATGCCGTGGACGTAAGCCACGCATGGTTGTTATTATCATAGTCCTGACGTGGCACTGGTCGTGCTGCCACGGCTGTGGGAGCATCTGAAAGGAGACGGAAGAAGAGATGACACTCAGAAAGATGATGGATGATATTTCGCACCTGTACAATTTAACCCTAGCCGGCCGAGAGGGTAGCGGGTGCCCCCCCCCCCTAATAGTTTTTTTTTCGCGATAGCTCCGAACACGCTGGCGATAGAGCTGAAACTTGGCATACCTGACCCTTGGTTCAAGCCAAATCTTTTGACAACAACCGCATTTTCGGGTCAGGTCAGGTCACTGACCTATGACTTCATAAGTGAACCTGTGCACGGTGTTCAGATGTCGCAACTTCAACACGCTCTCAGTGCCAGAGGAGCTTTCACAGGGGATAAAACTTACAGGACCTACTATCCTCCAGAGGTCTCACAACTTCTATATCTCGGATTATTTTCTAAAGGTCACATGAGGTCAGATCGATCACGTGACCTCACCATTAAAAGACAATGGGGAAAAATGAAAATTGCTATTTTGGCACCGGGAACGACCTCACACTATCCCAACCATCTCAACCACACGGAATCGTGAATTCATGAACTCCCTACAAGTTTCAATTATTCATTTTTGTATTGTTGACCCTGCGTGACGTCATTTATGACGTCACCAGGGTCATAAGTTTTTCGTCAACAACTCCTGATCAAATTGAGCTAGCGAGCACAGAAAGCCACCAATGGACTCAGGAAGACCTGCCAAATCGAATGATATGCAACATGACCTCCTTCGACCAACTTTGCGACCTGGGGGGCTCTGACCTGACCGTGACCCGAGGTCAACACCTTAAATTGACCTCACCTAAACAAAAAGTATACCATTCAACGCGCCTGAGCAAGACGAACACGATGATGCCAAAATCGAGGATCTGCGGCCGTTTTTGTTAGTTTATTTGCCAAAAACCGAGCCCGTACCTTGGGCCACTTGACCTGACCTCAGAGGTCACCGGTTGAAATGAGACCTTAAAATCGGGTACCAATCGCTGCGTCTCGTAACGGTGCACACGCTCGTTTTTTTTTTCGCGACGCTCTAGCTCTATCAGGGGCGAAACAGCGAGGGGGGTCGTACCCTCCCCCCCCCCCCCAGCCGGCGCGTATGTAGAAAACCAATAGGTCCGGCGAGAGTTAATAGTTATCGTGATACGCATAGACATCGATTATCCAACAACACAGACACCATACCTGACAAAGCCTATAAAATACCCCACAGCAGCCATCGAAATTAGTATTAGCATGATGGTTTCACGGTATAATTGACGGTGTATAAACAAAGTGATCAAACCAGCAAGTCTTCTTGGAATTATGATGAGAAGAATCCGTCCATTTGAGGCACTCATATTTTATTTATGAGATACTCACGGATGCTGCTGGTGGTAATCCCGGGCCGTTGGTGCTGATCCTGCCACTGCTGGTGATGGCCATGGTCATGCTGAGGACGTTGGTGATGGCGGAACTGAAAGAAGACGTTAGTTCTTAACATTTGTTTAGCCGTACTGGTGCCCAGATGGGTCACCCCAAAGATCGTAGAGATCGCAGGAAGTATTTTTTTTGTCTATAGGAAGCTTGCAATTGACAACAGACAATTTCAAGAGCCCTGCGGATATTCATTGTGAATTTTTGCCCTGCGGAATTGTTCATTTTTTTTCCACCAACCTCTGTAGGAAAAATGGTTGGTTTAATCTCTACTGTATTGACATGCTACGAAGTCTTTCGATGAGCCATCTGCTGCTTTTCTGCGCCTACCTCTTTTAGTTCACGAGTCCGTGTTAATGAGTCTATGTATGTGTGAGCGAGCACGCCCTAGTCTTACCTCGTGTGTCGGTCTCGTCCACCTTCAGGTAGTAGGGCAGCAGCCGCCACCGGTCCGGCCACTGGCTGACAACAGCATCGTAGGCTGTGCGCAGCCGGTCACCGGTCAGCAGCTGCTGCGTCCGTCGGCGCCAGAGGTCAGCTGTGGCGACCACCGTCGGGCCGTCCATCTCTGGTATCTCTTCAGTGAGGTTGTACTCCAGGTCACAGCTGAGGTGCTGCTCCAACATCTCCCGGCACCACTGGTAGGTGGGCGGTGGGCGGAAGTTCCACGCCCAGTGCCCTTTCTCCCTCCGGTCCACCACTCGCCACCAGTCCAATTTCGCCGGTACGGCCTCACTGACGGCGCGTAGCAGCAGCTCGGGCCGCAGCAGCAACTCGGCCCGGCCCCGCGGCGTGTCCAGCTCGGCAGTCAGGCCGGCCGGCCGCTCCGCCGGCGGCCGCCGCAGCTGCCGACCCCACCAGGCGGCCACCGCGGCCGGGTCACCCAGCAGGTACTGCAGGTCCGAACTGGTGAGCAGCTCCGTCAGCGGCGTTACGTCCATCGTGACCACGTCGCCGACCGGTGACGTCATCGGTGACCCGCCCACCAGGTCCGCCGGGTCGACTACGCTCCACGCCATGAGCAGAAGGCACTGTTGGCGGTGTGTCCCTGATGTCATGTAGCGGAACCACTGGAGCAGGTGGGGTGCCGCACGCGCCAGGCTGGGAATGGTCCACTTCCACCAGCTCTCCCAGCAGGGAGCCGTGGAGCGGAACCTGATAGCGTCGTACACTGCTAGCCGGACGAGCGTCCGTCCCAGACGGAGCCGCAGCTGTCGCTCTGAGAGCGGCTCGGCCCCGCCCTCCAGCAGTATGTCTAAGGTGGGGCCCCATCGTTTCTCACAGCAGGCCATCATGAGCGGTGTGGAATGCTCCCTCATCAGTCTGAGGGAGCCGATGATGGCCTGCCGTTGATCTTGGGTCAGTTCCCTCACCACATTAATGTCCGGATGAAAGTAACAGGGCAGCCAGCCGTCGGTGAATCGTTGCTCCAGCCAGCCCAAGATGAGATGGACGCTCTCAGTGATGCTCGACCACGGTCCACCAGGCGTGTCCTGAGCTAGCCAGAGCCCCGCCGTCTTGATGAAGTACGACTTCAGGCCGTCGGTGGCTACCCTGTTCTCTTTCGACAATTTTTCCATCATTTCGTTCAGCATCTTTTTCATTGCCTTAACTGTGGTGATCGCAGCTCGCAGCCCAGATTGGAGGTGACGGACGGCGATCGCTTCTGCCCGGGACAGCGAGACGCGAAATTCTATAAATTCAGTTTCGCTGCCCGGCCAGCCGGTCGGCACCAGATGTACGCCGAACCGGGGAATGTCGTCCCGCGCCGTCGCCGGCGGAAAATCGGACTCCAAATGGTGATGGTCGGACCATTTCGGGTAGGGCCACCAGCCGCGTACATGCAGGCAAAATACGTAGTCTCGGCCGCCGTCTGAAGGATCATCTGGCCGCCTGACGTTGACCGCGGGGCCGGTGGGGGTGATCTCACCGGGTTTCATCACCCGGCAAAACTCAAGCATAAGCTGACGGACCGAGTCGGCCGGCAGCGCCTCCAGCAGCTCAGCATGACTGCACTGGCTCGTCCTGACCCAGTGCAGCGTCACGAAGCCGGTGTTGCTGGTGGGACGGGCCCAAAGCTGTGGCGCAGACTGCGGCAAAATGTCGTCCGGCTTCGTCCCCACCGTCGTCCAACCGAAGGGGCCGTCAAATTCAAACATGATATCGCAGTCCGACGTGCCCCCTTTACCGATGATACCGTCATCAAGCCCCTCAGCACTGCTCCCCGACCTGTTGCAGGTAACAAGTCGCAGGGGCTGACGGGGCTGGCAGTGAGGGCATCTGGCGAAGGCAGAGGCTGTCCTGACCTCCGTCAGAGCCGAAAGAAATGGTTCATCAACCAGACAGCAGATGGCGTCACAAACCTCCTCTGCGGCGGTGTGCCCTTGAAGACGGGGACCGGGGTTCACCACAACATCACCGACCAGCAGCAGGGAGTCGGCGGCCAGGTTGGCCGCCGACCCGCACTTCCTCAACAGCTCCATCCTGTAACCAACAAAGACGTCAAAAAGTGTGGCAACTTCTAGTCAATATACATTATACACACTCGCTTATTCAGTGCATGGTCATGTACGGACTGAGGATGGCCAGCTCCAATGCTGACATTGATATAGTTACTGTCTACTGAGTCTGACCCCCAGCAAACTGAAACTGTTGCAAAGGTGAAAATAATCTTTAGCACACCCAACTCAAATTGGATAAAAACTAAGCGCCAATATGTTCAGGAGCATAGAAAATTGTGAAAACAGTCATTTACCTTCAACAAGTTTGATAGCTGCCCATAATTATATGAAAAGAGGAACCACATCACGAGCCACACATTGTCACGATCACAAAACAATTGTCATGTCATATGACTATATTCTGATAATATTCATCTTACTGCTTGTGCAAAAAGCATTTGTACTTTAAAATACTTTGTGAATATCTTTCCTTGAAATTGTATGTAGGATATATTTTACAAAAAAGTCAATTACAGAAATGATGAATTTCCGATCACGGATCTTTGACAAATCACTTTTTTATTTTGAATGTGATTAAAGATCCGAGATCGAAAAATTCATCATTTCTGCATTTGACTTTTTGTCAAATATATCTTACATACAATTTTCATTTTAGCCTGAACTAACAGAACTAGCCTAGCCTAACCTAACCCAACCCAACATAATAAAACCAGTATACCGCCTTTTGGGGCGACTAACGGAGCGAGCGAGAGGGTGGGCCTTGCATGTTATTGCTTACCCGTGACCGATTTTGATGAAAACTTTTGTGAACCTGGTAGAATAGGAATTGAGGAATGTCTTGAAAATATTATTTTCCTTTTAACATTCAATACACATGGTCAATGGTCATCTACACGATAAACTACACGATAATCTACACGAAAAGCTCTCGCAGTGTCCCGGAAATGTGTTCACGATAGCCAAGACCAGTGACAATACGGGCGCCGAAATTCATGCATCTCTGAAGTCTGTGCTTTTGGGTCTTTGTGCAGCTTCCCCACACGCACATGCAGTACTGCAGATGAGGGAATACCAGTGCCTCGACCAACAGCTGCTTTGTCTCACGCGGCACACGACGCTGCATTCTGGCCTGCCCTAACAGAATGCAGTAACATCGGCGAGTGATCGCAGCCACATGCTGCTCCCACGTCAGGCACGAGTCGATGTTGACGCCTAGGACCCTCGCCGACTGCACAGGCACGACTTCCGACTCGCCGAATTTGACGGTGAAGCTGACATTATCATTTTGGCGTGAGGAAAATGACCTTAGTAAAAATTGTAGACCTTGTCCGTGCGTATCCCATGCCGTTTACCGCTTGTCGCTATCTTGCTTCGTTCTCGAGATCTCAGGGGGAGGGGGCGGTCATCCGCCCCCCCCCGTCGGTTCTAAGTTGGCGCAGACCCCCGTCGGTGCGCGGGTTAAGGGGGGCCCAGCTCGGGTTATGAGGGACCTTGATCTAGCCTCTGATGGCTCCATGTCGCTCTCGGGGCCTCATTCCGACCTCTCAGGGCTCATGCTGACCTACGAAGCCCCTCACCGGCAGCAGGGGGCCCCACGCTGGCCGAGTGCCCAAGACTGGCGAGCCCCATTGCTAATGGCCTCAGAGGGCCCTACATTGACTTCAGAGGGCCCAAGCTGGTCTCAGAGGGCTCCAATGTGGCCTTAGAAGGCCTGCGCATAGAGGACCAAATATTCTTAGGTTGTAGTTATGCATCAGGCTTCAGGCTTTGACTTACCATTGCTTGCAATCTATTCATGCAAGTAGCTTTTTCCATATCCCCCCGGTAGGCAAACATCACTCATCAGTAGGCAAGGTTAGGTAAGGTTTGGTTATGCTCTAGGTTAGGTTAGGTTAAAATTGTAGACAAAAGATGTACGGACGAAAAAATGCACAGACGCAGTGTCCCAAAATTGTATTTTGGCTTGGGTGTCAGAGGAGAAAGTCCTCTCCAAAAATGGGGATAAGAGTGGAAAATTACCAGTCAGATAAGATCCAAAAACAGTGGAAAAGGGATCAGATAGCCGGCTAAAACAGTGTACAATCCAGATATACAACGGTCTATGCAAAAATTTGTATGGAGGTGTGGCCAATGTAAAACTAATAAAGGATTAAAATTCACTCATATGCCTTTTTCGGTAAAATTGGGAGTGGAAAATTGCTCTGAGATTAGAGATGAGAGTGTAAAATGATGTTCATTTAGATGTCATTTCTCACCCAAATCAACGCAAATTGGTAATTGGGACACTGCACAGACGAAAAACAAATACAACCGAAAAATGTTCGGACTAAAAAATGTACAGACGAAGAAATGCACCGATGAAAAATTGCATGGACAAAAAAATAAACAGAAGAAAAATGTGAGATGAAAAAAGTTGGACGAAAATCTGCTGGACGAAAAAACGTCATGGAATCTTATGAGCCTTATAATATAAGTACCACATTTTTTATAACTGCAGGATTTTAGTACCTACGTACCTACAGTGCAGGGGTTGAGGTGCAAATTACTTCTTTTTTTTACTCGCAGGAGCCGGTATTGGGATCAGGATTACCTATTTATGGTTGACACTCGAGTCTCGACTCACTTGTTACTGTTACGGTGAAAATTCTTGGAAAATCTCAGGAGCCTATCTAGGATTTTTGTATTTTTTACCTCTTTCCTGACACCTTTTAAGATGCTGTATAATAGGGGACGAAAAATGGTACATACGGCCCTCGTACATACACACTTCAACTTGCACAGATCTGTTGTTATTCGTATTGCCACTGCAAAAAAAAAAACAAGCATAAACCCCCCAAGGCCAAAACAAGATTTGTCACATGTGCGTCACGAGTTCCAGGCTGCCAAAGTAAAATGCTTCCATATCCTGACCTTGGACTGTGATATTACAAAATTACTTTACTTACAGCGAGGCACGTTTAGCACCGTATAAAACGAGAGCCTCGGCCCTCAGCCAGTCACCGTTCCGTGATTCTATCCTCAGGAAACTGGTATCCTTCTCCTCCACGCCGCAGCCCCCTCCGGGCTGGACAGGCAACTTTATCTCATGCGGGCTGCTCCCTTGGAGCGGCACCGCTGCTCCCGAGGGAGCGCACCCCGTAGCCGGGTGCAGTGAGTGCCTTGGGGCTGCTCGGCCTGTCTTTCGGGACGGGCTCAGCCCCGGTGACTCACTAGGGTGCCTGCCCAGACCAATGTCTCCCCCTAATTCCTATCATCCTTCCGGCTCTGAAATGGTCTTATTGGACCGAAAGGGCCTAACCCAACAAAACAAACAAACAAACCTCAGCCAGTGGCGCAGCCAGGGGGGATCAGAGGGTCAGCTGACCCCCCCCCCACCCGAAATTTATGTCAGCTCCGCTCGAGAGAGAGAGAGAGAGAAAAAAAAGAAAGAGGGAGGGAGGAGAGAGGCAGTGGCGTATACAGGGGAGGGCCATGGGGGCCATGGCCCCCCTTTCCGCCCAGCCGCCCAAATGGCGCCCTAATTAGCGCCGACTAGGCTGATGCCGTTTTACAGAGAGAACATGAATTAAAAAGTGATGTGCAGGCAGGGATAGAACTCAATATCTCTTTGGGGGTGCCTGGACACCTAAATGTTCTCCAGGGCACCCCCAAATACGACCTGAGCCCCCAAATGTTGAAGGGCGCCCCTCCGGATACCAGAATATTCCGAACCCCCGGGGTCGATGGCGCCCCTGAAGAGCCGCTGGCACCCACCTGAACGGAACAGTCGCCCCATTAAAGCTTGATGGCGCCCCTCTAGAGCACCCAGCGCCCCTCTAAAGTTCACAGCTGCCCCAATCGACCCATCCAAGATCGATGGCGCGCCCTGAAACCACTGGCGCCCCTCTAAAGCACCCGCATTCTTCTCAAGATCACAGTCGCCCTATCCGAGATCAATAGCGCCCTCAAGAGCCACTAGCGCCCCACCCCCCTTGAGACTGAAGTAGTCCCGCTTGAGACTTAAGTCGCCCCATTCAAGCCCAATTCAAGCCCATCCAGAGCGTCCGGCGCGCTTCTGAAGATCGCGCCCATCTAAACGAAGGTTACAGCTGCCCCATCTTAAAGGTAGTGTGCCAGCTTTCCTGGACCGTATGGAGTTAATGGCCCAGATAAGGAGAACCGGATTTTTAGAACTTATCCATACCTTCAAAACTCATGGAAACGTCTTAAATTCTTCAAATTTTGAGTACCCCAGTGCGAAATTCGCCCCGACGGGTTGTCGGTCGTACCCCAACCACATTTCACACCACTATGAACAATAAATGCACACACTGAAATCGCTATTACCGATATGCTCATCCAATCAAGTTTCGATAAACCCGTTCATCATCATCTCCTGCGGTTTCGAACACGCCTGTTAGGTGGTGCGGTAGACCGCGCCCAAAGCCAGGGCCCCGGTGACGTGAGGTAGCCGAGTCGGGGCAGCGTGCGCTGACCCAAGCCGGGGCCGCGCGTCCTCCCGGTGTCATGTGATAGCCCGGGGCTGCCCGCGGGGATGCGGTAGACCGCGCCCAAAGCTGCGGCCCCGGCTTGGGTCAGCGCACGCTGCCCCGACTCGGCTGCCTCACGTTACCGGGGCCCTGGCTTTGGGCGTGGCTTCTGCTCATACTTTGTGGTGCGGTGGTGGTGCGTCGGGCCGCGCGCTCTGACTTCGGCCAAGAAAAATGCGTCAGCTGATCAATGTCATTTCTGCCACTTGCGTGTGGTGAAATGGGGTCATAACTTAACCCTCGCCCGACGAGGGCCTTTTCCATAACACGGACGGCGAGGGGGGGGGGGGTTGGTACGACCCCCCCCCCCTGGCGATTGGCTCCTATGGCACTTAGAAACACCAAATTTACAGGGTAGATGGGTCTATGGGAGGTCTCGCCCCTGTGTAAATTTGGTTGCTCTAGGTCAATATTTAGGGGGGGTTTGGGGGGTATAAGTGTAAAATTTTTGCTAAAACAGGCCAAAAGTTTTTCACTTATAACTTTTGATCTAATTAAGATAGAGCAAAAAGAAAAGCACCAGTGAACTCAGCACGTCAAGGCGCGTCGAATGATATACTTGTTTGCTTGCTTAAGTGTACTCAAAAAGTTAAGCACATCTTAAGTACATCTTAAGTCTTAAGAATGGTCGAAATGCTTAATGTTGCATATCATTCGACTCGGCTGTTCAAGAGGAACAGAATGATGCCATTTTGAAAGCTGTATCTTTATTGTATGACAAGTTATTGGCACAAACGTCATTTGACCTCAGTTGACCTCATTTGACCTGACCCATGGATAAGTACACCAAACAAAGAAGCACCAAGTGACATAATGTTAAGTACTGTTGTTTCAAAGCACTAAAGTGATAGAACGAAGCGGATATCGCCAGTATTTTCCGCATTGAATATTTTCCCATAGGCTTAACATTACGACGTAATGACCTCTAACTGACCTCAAGTCAGTGACATGAAAAAAACCGGAATATATGTTATACAACTCGGTGAACTTAGGACATCCTGAAAGTTTCAAGGAAATCAGTCAAAAACTGTGAGTTGGACATGTGCATAAAGAAAATTGAAATTTGACCATGACCTTGTACCGGTTTTTCTGACCTGGTGACCTGACCTGAAATGGCAGAGGCCTGAAATTTTCAGGGAAGGTGCCAAAAGGTTTCCCCAGAGGGTATGCCAAATTTGGCGGCGCTACGCGCCGCCGTTTTTACGTTATTTGCGAAAAACCTTAGGGGGGGTTGCATCAACCCCCCCCCCCCTCGTCGGGCGAGGGTTAAGAGACGGCTTTTTCATATCAATTATTTTACATAAAATCATATTTCAAACCATAAATAACGTTCGACAGCCAAATAAAAGAAACAATACCAATACAGGCTTACAGTTTAAGGCTCGACATTGTGTTGTCTACGATTAGACAGCTGATAACTCATTCCCGTACGTCGTAACTCTATAATGACCTTTGCTTATTGTCACATGTGCGCCGCATTCGCGATTGTTGCCGACGCCTGTTTGCAGGTCAGCCCACTACAGTTGTTATACATATAGAAAAACCGATAAACTTTTAGGCGAAAAAGGCACTATTCCAGGCCCATTTTTGATTTTCTTTGCGATTTTAGTTAAAAACAGAAGCTTCTTATCCTAGGAAAAATAAAATGGGAAATCTTTCAAAGGTGGCACACTACCTTTAAGATCGTTGCCAACCCTCTGAAACCAATGGCGCCCTTCTAGACTACCCGGCACCCCTCTGAAAATCACATTCGCCCCATCCGAGACAACGCCCCTGGAGACTACAGTCGGCCCACCCAAGCTCAAGCCCCTCCAGGGCCTCCCTCCAGCGCCCTGCTGAAGGCAACAGTGGCCCCATCCATGCCCAATGGCGCTCCTCAACGCCGTTCTAAAGATCACAGTCGCCCCATCAATCCGAGGTCGCTGGCGCCCCTCAAGAGCCACTGGCGCCTACCTGAACCGCGAAACTGAATGGAGACTTCGGTCGCCCCGCCCCATTCAAGATTGATACCTAGGCCCCCCCCCCCCGAAACCACTGACGCATAGGCAATTATTGGACAATGGGGCTTTCTCATCGACACCAAGGACCCTTTTCAAGATGCAGCAGCCAGGCTTAGATCATTTGTAAGTTTAGGTCGAACTTGTCGAAGGTCAGGTCACCAGCGACAACCGAAAATCAAATTTCGCCTATGTTGACATTTTTCGACAAAGCGGCACATGTCAGGATTCAGAAAGAGATTGAGCTACAGCGCCGCAGCAAAGCGCATATTCAATATCTCTTTTTATGCTCTCTCTTATTGATTATCTCATATTTGACATAAGGTAAACGTTTTAGCCTCAAAATATACTTTCCGCGGAGGACGTTTATCTGTAATACCTCTCGGCTCAGACCTGCACGAGATTAGTTTATCCAGCATCGTGTTCCATTTTTCGAGACAGACCAGTCAAATGAACTAGAATTTGACATTAAAAGGGCATTTGAGAATTTGACCTAAGGTAAAGGTCATCACCTAACCGGGAAAGGTCATACTGCATATTAGTCAATCCATATTTTCGAGAAGGAAAATAATTATATAGGGTGTTTCATTGGTCTATCATATCTCTACCAAAAGTTATTGTCAAAAATCTACTGGAGACCTTTCATGACCTGAGATGACCTCAGTAACATAAAAGTGGTCACATCACGAGTGACATTTACCGATTAAATGTGTCATATTTACCTGAATCCCGATGTTTGAGGTTGTTTTCGTTCAGAAGAAGAGCATTTCAATTGTCTCCCATTTATCTGCGCCGTGCTGGAAGGGGGGGGGGGGTTCCGCCCCCTTCGGTTTTTTTTTTAGCGAATATCTCAAAAACGGCGTCGCGCAGCACCGCTGTTTTTGGTACACCTGTTCATACATCTTTTCTACACAGCTTGTGGAAATTTTAGATCAGGGTCGTTCAAGGTCAGGTCACCAGGGCACGTCAAGTGGCCTTACCTCAAAAAAAGTTTAAAGGCCCGCTATAGCTACAACGACTGAACGATCTTTTTTGAAACTTTCAGAGATTGATAAGACTAACAATATGTAAAAAATGCTCATCTCGGACTTTTTATTTCTGTGACCTAAGGTCAGGTCAATTTTGGGACCTCAAGTCAGTGGGAGAAAAGTGAAATGTGCCTCTTTTGGACGAATGTCGTTTAAAACCCTCCAAACATCGGTTCATGGGTGA